CAAATACATCAATACCTACAATAAACAATGGAGCAAAGACAGTGCCATGTGCTCACCAAACCATTGCATCTTCCTGACCACACAACTAAAGTATTAAGAGTTTCTGGTCCAAAGCCATATGAACAGATATGCCTTCCCTGGGATCTCTCTCCTACCTGCAAAGCTGGAAGTGAAGGTCTTTGCAATAGTCGGGTTGCAAAATGGAGCTAGCCTGGGTTCATGAGTCACTTTTTGGAGGAGAGCTACAGAATGTCCAACCTTGAACTGCACATGGGTAAAAAATAAATCTGTGTTTTGGTAAACCACTGAGGCTTCAGTGTTTTTTGCAGAAACAAGTTTGCTCGCTTTGACTAATAAATACATGGACTGAACCACCAGTTGGAAGACAGAGATTGTCAGATTGAATCAAAAACAAAATCTATCTGTATGACATTTACAAGGGCTACATCTAAAGTACACAGAAAGAGTAAAAATAAAAGCAAACAAATACCCAAAGACAGTTGTGAAGCTTATAAACATCAGACAAGAAAGACTTAAGACAGAAAGACTGTCAGGACATCACTGGACACGGTGGCTCATGCTTATAATCCCAGCTGCTGGGGAGACTGAGGCAGGAGGATCGCTTAAGGCCAGGAGTCTGAGCCCAGCCAGGGAGCCTGGGCACATAGTGAGACTGTCTCTTGGTAAAAAAAGAAAAGAAAGGAAAGAAAGGAAGAAAAGGAAGAGAGGAAGAAAGAAAGAAAGATTGTCAGAACAAATTGGAAAAAAGTTCAGTTCATGGACTATAATAATTCCAAAGAGTGAGCACCTAATAACCTAAATGTGTAGAGGGCAAAAATTGATTTAAAAAATAGAAACAAATTGAAAAACCTACAGTCATAGTAAAGGTTTAAATACATCACTCTTAGTTATTTATAGGTCAGTCCTAAAATAAGGAAAGATATAATAGATTAGAATGACAAAATCAACATGCTGGGTCTAATAAACATGTATGTGTATAAAATTCTGCATCCAATTCATTAGAGCACACGTGAAACATTTACAAAAATTGATCAGACCCCAAGTCATAAATAAGGTAAAATAAACTTCAAAGAAGATGCATCATACTGACAAGGTTCTTGTATTAGCATGCAATTAAGTTTTAGGTTAATAACAAAAAAAATACATTTTTACAATCTCCATATATTTTGAAATAAAACACACCCAACACCCAATTGTTACCAAACAAAGAAGCAACATTATCATGAGTTTTGAATAACTTACCCATCTATCGCCCCATTGTCCCATGACTCCAGCTCCCAGCCCACTGGAGAAGAGATCAAGGTGGTGAGGGATCTAAACCAGGGCAGGATCTAAGCAGTGAGGAGATCATTCATGCACAGATACCTGCTGAGCATCCACTATGCACTAGGCATTATTCTAGATACTGGGGAATGGAAACAAAAAGAACTAAGATTAGGGCTCCCATAAACTGTGCCACCCAAATCCATTACGAGCTGTAATTTGTTAATTTGAAATCTGTTCCACTCAGTGTAGGAATCCTGTATTCCTTAAGGAAAGAGCATCAGAGCAGTTTTACCAGAAGGCAGGCCACAGGCTGCCCAGGAATCACCTAGGGAGCACGCAGGAAACACAGGTTCCCTGGCCCTACCTTGGAAAAGCCAATTTAGCTCATTAGGTCAAGATGGAACCCAGGAATGAATATTTTTTTATTAATTTTCAATACTTTGTATTTATTACACTAAATACACTTCTTTTGTATAAAACAGTCAATAGACTCAAGTAGACTCTCTAATATCTTATTGACATAAAATATACCAGGTTTCAATGCCCAGCTGCAAAAATAAATACAACACAGT